ATAAAAAAGATGAGGAGTATTGTTTGCAAATACCAATGAGTTGCCAGGCTGCTCTCCCAGGAGTGTCCTAGGGTGAAGTGGAAGAATCTTGCTTTGCACCAGCATTTTGAGAGGAAGATGGTGTCTGATCACCATGACTCCGAGAGCAGCAAAGCCACACCAATAAGGAGTGGCTAAGTCTAGTGATAGCGTAAAACAGGGCCACTTGGAAAGTCATGACAGCACACCTGCATGTGAATGAGCCCCACATTTACTTGACTCAAAATATAATGGCACCTGATTGAAATGTCCTAATGTATATCAGTTCTAAGGATTGACTTGTGTAGCTACAATGAATTGGGACAAATGATTTAGCTCAGCGTTTCCCAAGTCTGGTGGGTTTATGCCCCACTCTAGGGAAATTTTGTGACCGCCATATTTCTGTGCCTTCAGCCACCACCACTCCTTTCTTTGTTTTCAGTTCTTTCATGCCCCGTTATTTCTGCTGCTGCCAGTTTCCATCACCACCAGGCAAAGCAGAGGGAAATTTGGTGGCAAAGGAAGCAGAGATGAACTGGGCATAGTGGGACACAAGAGGATCAGCAGCAAGGGAAATGATGGCAGTGGTTGAAGTTTTGGGGGGGAGGTACAAGAGTGGCTGAAGTCAGAGATGATTGCTGCTGTGATTCACACACACCCCCTAGGAACCTTTCATTCCCTTCCTGGGGTGTGCACCCCACAGTTTGGGAAATGCTGACTTAGCCTTTACTTTTAACAAAACAGATGGCTTAATAATACTTTGTTTCATTTTTGTCCTAAAAATATTCCTAAAACCTTGTGCACTTTAAAGCAGCTGTTGCCAGAGGCAGGCAGAACACAGCAGGGGTGGCAGTGATCCTTATTTAATCTTTCTCCACCTCCTGAGTGTGCTGTGAAGCTTAGTTTGGTAATGCTGATAGATAGTTTAACAGTTCAAGTTATTACAAATACTAAGAGTTGTTTTGTAAAAATGACTACAGCTTGTTCCTATTACAGTCAGTGATAAAAAATCTTTGGACTTTCAGAGGAGCAGATTCAGAGCCTAAATGTGGGAACTGGATGTTACCAGACTGAATTTGGAGGACATACACTCAGAAACAGTCTGTTTTCCGAGTGCAGGATCTGAATGCATTCCGATTCAGCCTATCCCCATAATTGATAGGTAATCTGAGCTCCCCAGGTTCTTCCAAAGCTTTATTTTAAAATAAAGTCTTTATCTTATATCCAGGCATGAAATGTGGGAAAATATCCAGGTCCTGTTGGATCTGAAATGAGAAAATATCTAGACTTAAAAACCTTCAAAGATAGATAGTCTGGATGTCAGGTCTGTCAGCTGGCAATTCTACTGACCTGGCCTGTATGCTACCTGGTCCCCCACATGCTACCATGAGGGAAAGACTTGGGACATAGCTGATGGCAAACGTGGGCACAGCTGGAATGAATTAGGCCTTCTGATTATTTTCTACCTATGGGGACTTTTTACCATCTTTAATTTTCCCTGAGCCTGAGGAAGGGCATGTGCCCCCCCAAAGCTTGCAGAAAAAGATTTTTTTGTTGTGATTTCTTAGCTGGTCTAATAAAAGGTATCATCTCTGAACCACGGATTCTACAGTTTTGCATTTTTTTCAGTCCTGATGGTATTTATAGCATCTCTTAGGCCATTCTAAGGGTGCTGTTACATGTTGCCCTTAGGCTATACTAAGAGCTCTTAATACAGGAGTGTCCATGCTTGAAAGCATAAAAATAGTGCTAAGCACCCTTGAGGCATTTCAAAGTTATACTACTTTGAGCAAGATTTATCTTTGAGCTATGTTACCCACCTTGTGTTATTGGTTCCTCACACACCCCTCCCCTGTCCCAATCCCAATCCCAATCCCAATCCCAATCCCAATCCCAATTCATTAACACATAAGATTTGTCTTTTTTTTTTACTTCATTTTATTCTTTGGGGTTTTATTTCTTAGCCCTAGTTTATTTCTTTCATTTCACTTCAGTGGCTGACTTCTTTTCACCACAGCCCCCACCTCTGTATGCCTCTATACCTTCCAGCTCCATGCTTTGGTCCCTGCAATCCACCTGTCCCACCTGGTTTGCCAGCCCTCTAGTGGTATGTCACAGTTGTGCAGGTTAGAGAGGGTGTTAAGCCTTGATTCTAACATTAACGCCCCTTAACATTCCACAGAGCTTAGTATAGCCTAAAGGTAACATGTAGTAAGTGATTTGAGGCTCTTGTTCAGCTCTCAGTTAGTCCTAGGTTCACAGCAGCAAAGATGATAGCTGAGAACACAGCTTGGCCAGACTTGAGAATCTGAAACAGTATGAACTGTATTTTCATTTGTTGTAACCATCATTTCCTGGATTTGCGCTTGTCCCACGTAAGCCCCCCGCTTCCCCTCTCCTCTCCTCCCCTTGCTGCCCTTGGTGCAGTCCAAGGACATTTTGCAATAGATTATGAAGTGAGCAGGATTGGTTCTTGGACAGAAAGTACTGAGAGGCACGAAATGCATATTTTTCACTTGTGTGAAGCGCTGTGCAGTTATGGTACTACTGCAATAATAAACACTCACAAGAACACAGTGAGAACCTTTGAGAAAACACCTGGATTCTTGAGACTGTATAGACATATAGGTAAAATCCCTCTCTGTGCAGAGGGACGGCATAAAGGTTTGTGCAGCAGTATGTGTGCAGGGAACTGGATTACATAGCTCTTGAGATCCCTTCCAACCCTATGGATCTGTGTTTCTGAGCATTCAAAACACACAAATGATGCATACACATTTTTCTAGTCCTTTGCACACGAGTGAATTTCATTTGCTGTGAGGGAACAGTTTGCTTCTACTGTGATTAGGTACATCTTTGACAAGGCTTATATCTGCATTTAGATTTAGAGATAATGCAAAGGTGCTGTCAAATCGAAGAATACTTTGGGGGGGGGGGGAAATAACCTGCTTAGGCCTAATATAATCCCCAAAATGGAGAGAAAGACAGGCATAAACAAAACCATCGGGTTGCATAATTTACTGAAGACTTGCACTACAATAGCTGGATATTGCTGTAATCAAAATCACATTTTATAATTTTTATACTGTTGCAGCAATGACTAAAATTGAGAAATGTGCTTACCTTGATGCCATTTTAATTCCCACATTTTATGTAATTTTTGAAGGAAATGCAAAAGTAAGGGCTGTGGATAATCCCATGGCTACTATCAAATGTAGTCATCTAATCTAATCGCTCCATGTATATTGCTTCTAATCTATTTATATTGTCTCTACTGCCATAGTATTTGAGAACCTGGTGCTCAAGCCCACACTTGCCAGGTGTGCAGTCATTTCACCAACTACATTAGAACTACAGATGTGCCTTTATAGAGCCCAAGAATTCAGGCTTTATGCAGGTGGAGTGCAAGAAAATTAAAGAAATGCCCCAAAGCAGAGCCAGGGGACTTTTTAACTTTGTGTAGCTCAGAGCACAGTGCTATAGGATACTGAGACCTCTGATTCTGGACAGTCTGTCACATGCCTGACTTTAAGGCCTGAATTTGCAAAATATATGGTAGCAATAACTACGTGATAAATTGTATAACTCAGTAATAAAAAATACCCTGAAACTGCCATGGACCGAATGGTTTCATTTGTTATGGAAGACTCCCGAGCAGTTCTTGGAGACAGTTTACCACACCACATATTAGAGTCCCTAAACCTGCTGGTGTTCTGGGGGTGCAACTCCCACTGAAATCACAATAACTTTGCATGGGATAAGACAGTGGAATTAGATTCCATTTAACAGAATACATGTAATTGAATACATGTAATAAGTAGTTATGAAATTGTGGCAGACATTCAGAAATAGCTAGAAGTCTTAGTCCTTCCTCATGCAGAGTCCACAGCCCAAATGGCTACAGTACTTTGTTGCTTTTTTATGGCTGATGTCTGCATGTATCTGCATATACACACACACACTTTATGAATATTCATAGTTTTTCTACACATACCCACACTAATATGTGTGGTTGTGTGCAGAAAACTATGACTATCCACAAAAAAGAAGTCTAAAAGACAAAGAATAATTACTGAACATGGATTAAAAAGAGCAAAGCAGCTCCCAGTGATGTCTCCCCTGCAAATTTCCAGTTGTGTTACATGATGTGCATTACAGCTGCTTCTAGATGACTGTATTAGGTACTGCTTTGCCTTTATGCTTCTGTTGGGGGGTCACTACTTCAGCTTGTTTGGTACCACACACGTGTGAAATGGGAACTTTTTTTTTTTTTAATTGGTCATGATCTTTTCTAGTGAGGCATAAAGAAATGCCTCGCTTCCTTCCAAGCAGTTTCCCAGTTTGTTTCTTGTATGAACCGCAGCTCCACTATACACGGCCACGCGGCGGTTCCCTGGAGCAGACGCCGGAGCCCGTCGGGGACGAGCGCTGCGGTGCCCGGGCTGCCGCGATTCCAGGTGCGCGCGGAGGGGCGAGCCGGTGCTGCCTCGCGGGGCGCAGCCCAACACTGAAGCGTATCAAACCGGGGGCAGCTTCGTTTTCCGCCACCCTTGCTCTGCTCGCTCCCCTCGTTCCGGCCCGAGACCCCGCGCCCGCTTCCCCGTGTCCCAGGCAGATCTTGATCATCCCCCCTCCCCACCCCCCATTAGTATTGGGGAG